CGATCGGATCAACGACAATCGAGCCTCGACTAACTCGTGGTTTCTCTACCTGAACGTTCGAGACCTTGACGCGCGAATTCACATGGTCGGTTTTAACGGGAATCCGAAACGCGATTCTTTTTAACATATTCCTGAGGTTTCAGCCTTGAGGATACAATATAAGCATTGTACGTCAGCTGTCGCGAACATGTGAATTTGTAAACGACGCTTGTTCCGAAGTTAAAGCTCGATAATTAAAGTATTAAAAGACAATTATGTAATTAACTGATTTGGAATTAGAAACCCGGCAAGTCTTCCATTTGTCAATTTTATTCAATCAATAATCGATTTTAAATTTTTTAATTATAATATAAACAATGATATTCAAATATAATTTTTGACAAGAAAAAAGTCATAAAATGATTGGAAAATTTATTCCTATTCGGAAAATGTCTGACATCGATACATTTCATAAAAATGGATGACGAAAAATGAAGATATCGGTAAGGATACGATGAATTATTTTTCCTCTATATTGTTTTATATATTCGAAAGTTACAACCTCTTATTTTCCTCACGCAATTTGCAGGGAAATTCAGCGAATTAAAAAAAGAAAAAGTGAAAACAAACGCGATGGTTTCTCGTTAGCGAATCACGACTTAATGTCTCACTCGGCGAGCGAAATTGATAGTGGCGCAATTAGACGCGTAAATTATACGCTCGTCATTGCTCGTTGCGAGCGCGCGCGCGCGCGCGACGGCCTATCTGTCCGTAAAATGACAATGTACTCAGGTACGCGAGAATCTGTGGTGGTAGTTACGTACACGGTAAAACGGTTTAGATTCGCGCCGTGAGATAACCTTCGTCGTAGCTTACCGAGCGCGTCGCCGGTCGTCTCTCTCTATTTTTCTCTCCCCCTTTCTCTCTTTCTCTTTTTTTTTCTCTCTCTTTATCTCTCTCTTTCTCTCTCTTGCAGCTATTCCCGATGCACGCCCGCACGTACGGATGTAGCTATACGCGTCGTAAGCTCGTCCCTCCGGTGCGTACACGCACTGAAATACGCAAAACATTGTTCCCGCACAGTGCTAGGCGCAACGATGAGTTCGCTGACGGTAAGATACCTCTCCTAGAACGGAAACACGTGGTGAAAATATCGTTCTTGCTTGGACATACTTTTGTATATGTGTAGTTTTGATCAAAATATTAGATATTGTAAATACTCTCTATTCTGAAAGATACGAAAAGCTCTTCTTATTAAAAAAAAAGTAATAATGTGTTTGATATGATTAAAACAAACTTTTTCCGATATCTGTAGAATAATACGAATATTTTACATATAATCTTTTATGTTAATCAATTTGCCTAATTATCCAGTATATAAAATATTATGATAAGATCATTAAAAAGTGGATATGAGATACTTCAAATTTTATATGACGCATATGACGTTGAGATAAATTATAAAATATTATTTATAAATTATATGATCTTTCCAGTGACTTTATTTGAATATTGTTATATGAATATTTATAAGAATCGATTTGTATAAAAATAAGATATTTATTATTTTTGAAAAATGCCGTTGTGTAACGTTGATATGTCAAGGTAAAATACACGACGTAAACAATTTATTTATACATCATATTTTCCAAAATTATAAAACTTTTATTTGCTTTTTTTAATATTTTTTTATACAATTGGTTACAATTTATCTTGTGCATAATGTATATATAATTTTGTCTTCTGTAACTGCATCTGACTAAATGCAATGTCGAATGGCAAACGGCGAATGGCGATAGGATGAGACCTGAAAAATAATCGCGGTTTTAACGACTCATTTCCCTTCGCGCCGCGATAAAACGGCTCGCTTTCATCGGGCATGTACCTCACGTGCAACGTCCTCGGCGCCGTCGTTTCCTGTTTCCTTCCCTTATCTGAGCGTCGGCAGAAACAGGAAAATCCACGAAAGCCCATACGTTATCTGCCACGTACGGTCAGGGTTTCGCACACGGTACCCAAGTACGAGAGACGAGAGATATCAGTCGTGCAATGCACGCCGAGCAATACACGCTGGTACTGCGAAACGCCCGTTGCGGAAACGCCGAATGAATTATTTCGCAGCTGCGCACGATCGCCAGAATTATTTTCCTCGCGGAGATTCATTGTTTTAGATCGGTGCAATCCCCGGAGAGATCTGGGACTAGAAATGAAATTTATGATCTGTGTATAAAGTCGAATTTTTTAAAATAAATTTACCATCATTTTTTTCTGCAATTTCTGTTAATCTATATTAGATTAAACTTTGGGTCAAAATTCAAATGTTGAAGCAATTTATTTGAAATAAACCGAGAGATAGTTTCGTTATCTACTTCTGTTTTTAAATTTTACCTTTATAACTTAATCCGCGAAAAAATCCAACTTTGCGCGATTGTAAAAGTTACTCGTATCTCGACAGATTTTCATTTAAGGAAAAATTAATGTCAAGTAATATATCTATCTATTCAAATAATATAATTCTAAAATTGCCCTCAGCATTGTATCTTATGAACTGCGAAGGATATTACACTAATCCACCAGAGGCAAATATGTTTCCAAGAGTTTAACATAACGGTGGGACCGACTGTCATGATATTCTCATGGTATTCGTCTTATCGACTCTCTTCATCTCGTGCGATTATAAAGTAGCTGCTCCATATAACGCAACGTAATGGGTTAATCAAGTTTCGCTCAGAGGCCTTGCTTCCGCGACTGATGTACGATGTCATTACGCTCATAAATCTTCAAGCCGCGCGAAAGGAGAAGCAAGAGGGGGAGAGAGAGAAAGGGAAAAGAGAGGAAGGGAGATCAGGTATGACGGGAACAATGTTTTCCCCATCGTGTTATCCGTCGTGCGGGGAATTTTAACGCTACGCGTGAGTTAATGTGACGAAATGCCGTGTAAAAGACTCGTACACGTCGCCGATGCGTCGACCAGACTGATGGAGCGGCGCTACGTGCCAGATATGACACCAGATCCGACTGTGCTCGTCCTATAAACTAGAAAATTATTCAAATTAGCTATGCAGGTTTCACGGGAGTCGCCTAGGTACCGAAGGTACGAAGGCTACAAACTACTCGGTCTTCTCGTTTTTCTTTCGTTCCTTCTTCCTTTTCGCGATGCAGCCCGTGCATCTATTTGCGCGACGCGATGCGATGCACTTTTCCCTCTTCTCGTCATTCGCCCGACGTTTCTTCCCAAGAAAAGGTGCAACGCCGTCCACGCGACGAATGCGAAATGCAAACACGTCAGACAGATTGCGTGAGCTGCATCGACTTGGCCTTTTTTTACGAGAATTTATGTTTAAGATCGATTCTTTTAAAACACAGTTGCATACCATATAGATTTAGAGTTATTTACGATTATTTATGTGTACGATCCGGAATATGAATGAACGTATTAACGATCAGATTTGAGTTATTTATAGATGTAGTTATTTATAGATGTTACCAAACTCTTGCTTGCATTGCGAATACATGTTGCAAGCGAAGTATTGCGTAAGTGTAAAACTGACGTATTCCCTTTCGTGGAAACTTATAAACAATTGGGAGCCTTGGCTTTATTTTCAATAGTTTTTTGATAGTTTAAATCACATAAACTTCTATATATTATACTAATCTACTAACAACAATGTTACAGCTTAATTTTTTGAGCAATTTTGAATCTCTTCAATTTGTTTTTTTTCTTATTATAACTCTTTCTAGATTATACACATATATATCTTTGATTTTTTTACCGTAACTTTACAATCATTTCTTATTAAATGACGATCAAATTCTCGATATAAATTATGTCCAAATCTAAATAGCTGCCCTTGTTTCACTATAGTCATATTAGCAGTCTAGTATAATATACAGAAGTTTGTGATTTAAATGGTTCTGGTCATTAAACAAAAAAATTGCCTCAGGGTAAAATAAGATGCCGAGTTCCTACATTTTATTTTGTAAGATTTTTCTTATTATTTTTCGTCAGACTTTCAAAGATTCATTTTATGTGAATTCTAAAAAGATTTATATTTAAAAAAAAACAGATTAATATAAAATAATCACGAACACAAATACGCATATGTAAAAATACCGAGAAATACTAATCAATTTTCAAGAATTCTATTTATTCTCAAATATTTCTCGTGTAATTCTTAATATATTTATGCATTTTCTAAAATTTTAATTATTAGCAATATTAGAATATTTTTTAAATAATTTATTTTTAAAAATAATTATTTGTTTAAACTGTCAAAAACTGTAAAACTGAAAATAATAAATTATCTTAATATCGCTAGTCAATTAATCAAAGGATCATTGGAAATAATGTAAATCGACCAAAACTAGCCAGAACAATGTTCGTTGACAAAGTCTCACACTGACACATCGTTTTATCTCTCGATTTTAAATTTAGTAAGATGTAATGATCTTGCAAACGTGACTTGTGCAGTTTACAATACTATGATTTATATCTATCTTTTGATCTTATATATTTGAAAAGGATCACATCTATATGGTCGAAAGGTCGTAATTAATAAACAAAAATTCTGGCTAGTTTTGGTCGATTACATTATTTCCAATGATCCTGAAAATAATATTTTAAAACTTTAAATTATTTATAAGTTATAAAATGATACGTCTCAGCTTTATGCATACAAATATTGATCCTGCGCGCATTTATTAGTAATGTGAAAAATTATTATTAATATATAATTTTTATCTATCGAACTCTTCAAAACGCAGCATAATTATAGTACTGTATATTGATAGGTTTATTATATATGCATTAATGCATATAAATGTATATCGGTTATTATCGTAATTTTTGCTGCATGTTATATTATACATTTTTAGTGATTTTTTTCTTGTTACTGATGGCAATATATCGTGCATAACGCGAGGTGCAAATCGCAAAGATAATTACTTAATCGATATAATCGCGCCAATACTTGTCACATCAGTATTATAATCACGCTCATTTATTTTTCTTTCTGTTGCAGGATCGAGCCACTAGTGCCAAAAGTCAACAAGTGAGTAGAACGAGTATCGAGCGTGAGTACCTCTTATTTACGCGTAATGTAATTACAAACTTACGGAGAGCCACGTTAAGGGTTAATACTTGTTTCACGTGAGATTTATGTTTCTCTCGTTCAGCCCCGCACGCACGTGTGCATAAAATCGTGTATCTACGCGCATGCTACTCCATCGACCGTGATTCTTAATTACATTTTGAATTACGCTGTAAAACGAGATGAAAACGTTTGAATCTTATCGTACTATGACGTAAAAGCTGCGAGTCATTTTCGAAACGCGTTTCCGCGGAAGTGCTTATGCATCTTGCGTTCAACATTGATTGATTGAGTCCGGCTGTCACATGATGAGGAAAGACTGAGAAAAGAAAGTATATCTGTCCCGTATTGCGCGATTTCCGGTGATTTTTCTGTCATGCGCATTTACGATAATTAAGGATTTGGATTATAATTGGGACAAATAAGGAAACTTGGCAAATTGAAGTATATATTTATCGTGAGAGATATACAAGTTACAAATGAGATGCTAATCACGACATAGATATTATGCTTTCATGATAGTCACGCAATCTCGTAGGACGGAGAAGGAAAAAAATTTAGAACTAAATAAAAAGAGAAAGAGAGAATTTAGATCCTCACTTTAAATTTATACATTATTTATGAGTAATATTTCTCGTTTGCATATTTTTTTAGTAATAAATCTCTAATAGAAGTTAAAATAATTTTCATATAACTAATAACAATTAATTGAAAGAAGGACCAACTGTTTATTAAAATTAAAGTCATTAAGATTAAAATTTATTATTATTATTATTATTATTAAAATTTTTGTGCAAGAAGAGTAGAAAAAGAAGAGAGAGAAATTAAAATTATATTATGTCTAATTTAAAAATATAGAGAATTTATTGGTAACTCATAGAAAAAAAATTAATCGCGTTCAAAGGACCATAATTGAGAGATCACGCCAATTAGGCGCGCCTTTAACGGTTTAACTGTTAGGCGGAAGTCGATGGAGTCCTCGGGCTCTATATTTGCATTCTGATTATAAGCTTGCACAAAACTAAAGCGTCGTATCTCGTCAATTATCATTATCTTTCATAATCCCCCGTGTTACTCGTTATGAGTTTATCGGCGATAAATAAGAAAGCACAAGACAAGCCAATCCAGCTAAAAGAAATCGTCATCTCAATTTGTCAGATTTTTTTTATCATTGCGTGATTTCATTGATTTAAGCCTCGCCTTCTCGTCTATTCACGGATCTGCATTTACATTTTGATTATAAATGAGTGTGATGGCGTTCGCGTGTTATCCGAGAGGAGATAGATCCAGGACGTAAACGCAACACGCCCTCTGCGATCGCTTCTCGTTTAGGGGACGTTTAATGCGATGCAATCCTGTTAATTCTAATCTAAACGCTCATTGAAGTAGAAAAATCAATAATTCTATATAATTAATAATTCTATGTGAGATCAAGTATAATATAATTTCTCTTATTGTTTCAAATTATATTTCATATTTTTTGAACGTATTTGAAATGGAAAAAATTGACAAAATTGAAAGAATAATATTTATAGAGACATCGTATTTTAAAAATAAAGGTTTAAAATGAAGCTAAAATAAGTACAGTTAAATAGTAAAAAGCCTAGTCTTTAACACGCAAACGCGTCTCACAATACTAACTACGCATTCAGGAATTTAACGTTAATATGACAAGTAAAGATCGCTATATTATGCGGATATACCATGAAAGGCTAACTCAGTGAAGAGCATGTAAAGTTCAGAAAGTATAAACGTTCAAACATTTGAGGTGTCATAAACACTCAATGCCTGAGCAGTCGCATTTTTCTGCTTCAAAAAGAGAAAATACACGTAATGTCTAAAGAAAGATGTTCTTGTCAAATGCAAAGTCTGCCACAGGATTCATTCATTGATTTTATCGAATTTTAATGTAAAAGAACAAGTATTTGTTCTCCTTAGCATACCATATATCACGTGTCGTTACATAATGGAAATATTATTCAATATGGATATCAATAGTCTGATGCGTCGCACGTATTGTAAAGAATGAGGAGGCATTGAACTCATTGACTCATCGTTGTATAATAATACTGGTACCGCAGCATATTGCTGAGCGTGTAAATATTAATAAAATCAAATCAAATCCGTGACATTGATTGGTCTTAAATTATATCGAGATTTCTTGCTAGAAATTCCGTGAGTTTTATATTCAAATTCACTTCTCCGGATTATGAAACAATATGAAATAATATGAAATAACTATACTGTGAATTTTTGCAGTGAAGTCTGGAAAATTGTCAAGTTTATTATATATTGTTTCTCATTTATATTTGCATAAATTGCGTAATAATTATATGTATTTTTACATGTTCATGTTCGACAAAATTAAATACGTTGTGCGTATCTAAAACTAGGGGAAAAAATTAATTATTATAAATCTAACATATTCTCTCTAATTTACCAGCGTAAAGATAAAACTTGATGTTTTAAAAACATCAAGTTTTAATATTCGCTAATATGTATATTAAAACTTTGCATTTTTCTTTTCGCCGACATTAGTATATTAGGTTTATAAAAATTTCTACATACATATATATGTATAATAATTGCCGTATAATATTTCTTCCTACTGGATATGTTGTAATTCGTCTTGTAATACATCTTTTATACCTTATTCGATGCGTACAGACGCATCTGTCAACATAATTCAAATATATTGCGGCGCGTGTAGCAATATTATAAGGCATGACGAAGGGTAAAAGGAGCAGAGACGTCGCCGTGAAATAATATTAATTACCGATGAGACGTTACGCCTGTCCAAGGCGAGTTGGTCGCTCTTTCTCAGAGAGAGAGAAATACCAGTCCTCCCGGTATAAAGCGGGCAGCATCCTGTCCGTAGGATTCGCATTTCCATTCCGATTACAAGCTGCTAGGAACGTACAATGTTGTACCCTCGCTATTACTCAGATACCCCCGTATTATTGCTTCTGATGAGCGGGTCCTTTTTCTAACCCTCCTTCTCCTTGTCTCTCTTTCCTCGTATTCTTCCCTCTTGGGTCGCGATCTCCGTCTCTCGTTGTTTCTGACTTCTTCATGGGATTCCTGCGGTTCTACCGCGAACCACGTGGAAAAAGGCAGGATGTACGCAGAATATTTCGCGACCTTGCGATTCACGTATAAAGCCATATATGGTGTGTGGCTTTTTTTCTTTCTCCCGCGTAGCGTAGGATGACTCGGACGAGCGGATGAGGCTAACGTTTGAATTTTCTCGCGGCACGCAAGTGGCGAACAAACCTCCTCGTTATACTAACGTGCGGGGATATAACACTTTGAATACTTTTACGACTCTATCGCGGATTGATGTCTTCATCGATTGCAAGGGATCAACGCGTGTTTCGATTATAATGATCGCCCGCGGCTCTTGTGTGATGCAAAAACTACGTTGCAAATTATTTGTCGTGTAGATACGGCTTTTTTCATTTTTGCAGCTAAATGCTATCTAATAATTTTATACATGTATCGTATTACATGTTAATATATATGTTAGATGTATTACATGTTAACATTATTGTATGTACAGAGTGTTTTACATCAAGTGTAAAGCTTTACGAAGTATTTTCCTCGAAATTTGACATAAAAAAAGATTTCAAACAAAATTTATAGAATTCAATAAATAATTAAGAATCATGTGAAGGTGAATATTTTACATGGTACGCACTGTATACATTACTCTTTTTTAATAAGAAATATTTTTCACAATTATTATGTAAAATTATTTAATTCTATAATAATCTTAATAATAATTATCTAATTCTATAATAATATATTATGTAAAATTTAATTCTATAATATATTATGTAAAATTATTTAATTATTTAATTTTATTTAAATAGAAATATTTTCTCTTTTCTTTCTATTTTTTTAGAAAAGACGTGCTTGATCATCGTTAATAATTTTCATTTTCAATTTAATAATTACGAAATATTTTAATTATACTTTTCATGCGTCGTACACGAGTATCTCTATCTTCGATCGTGCTTGAAGACTCGTACACGAATTTCACGAGCTTCCCGTCTTACCGTTCGCCGCGGTGGAATTATTTCCTTTACAATTACATCGGCGATAACAGGTCATTCTGCATCTCTGGCTTACGCCGTACGCAAATCCTCCTTTGATGTACCGGCAACGACGCGACGGTGAAGCTGAATTCACGCGAGCGAGCGAGCGAACGAGCAAGCATGCACGCACATGCGTGCCCGTGTTTGCACGCATTCGTTTGCACATTGTAGGAACGTGCTGAGCCGATCCCGGCTCAGCGATCTGAGCATGGGTTACGTTAGTCCCGGCTTTATAATGAGTCGATCTCCGTTTGCACAAACAACCAGCTGACGCATAAGAAAAGTACTTCTCTCGAGCGATCGGTCGGTCGGTCGGTCGATCGGTCGGTTGGTCGGTTCGTCGATCGTGGCCTTTTACTCTTATTACTGCATTATGAATCCAGTATTTCTTAATCAAGATAATTATTCTCGTAACGTCAAGGCGTCATGTTAAGAAATCTCATTGTCTCTTGTTGTTAAAGCATAAGGCGTATGAGCGCGCGCGATGTTTTTTCACCTCAAAAAGAGGGTTCTGTTAAGTGCGGTTATTCGAGCGAAATTTTATTCGAGCTTGAGGTTGATTCGTTTTTTTTTTTTTTTTTTTTTTTTTTCCCGAGCCTCTTCTCGTGAATGTTGTCATCGTCGTCGTTGCGGATTCTATGAGGTGAAAACGAGCTGCAGAGGAATTTCGGACGAGGTTGCTGCACTGACGGAAAAAAAGTTGCCAAAAATAAATGACCCTCCCTCCCCTTTTCCGCGCCTGAATGAACGCTACTTTGTAAGAGCGACCTGCGTTTCTGCACTCGAAGAATCTTTCTCGCAAGTTAACGTCGACCAAAAAAAAATCGCATATTTGCATAAATCAAGACTGCTAGAAAAAGAGTC